AGACTATGGGTAAGTGCACCACAGGAGCTAGATGTTTTCCTACCTGTACAGCATAGAATTTAATGCTGAAGTTTTGTTCAATTTAACTTTGCATGACCTTCCAAAACTGGAACACTTTGGGAACATGGTCTTCTCTCATCAGTAAAATCATACACTGGATACAGGCTTTCTGTTTATGTCTGTTTTTTGTTGCCGTTATTGTTGTTTGTTTTTTCGAAAAGAAAGGTATAAGAAAACAGAAAGCTGAAAAAGTTAAAGGCTAGATCTGAATTTTGAGCTCAGTTTACATTTAAATGACAAACTGTAGAAAGGGTAAAGGGCTTGTACAGCTCTCACCAAAAAGATTATGACAGGGAATATAGTTGAGTTCTCACATGTTCCTTCAAATATCTCAGTTGTATTAGGGTTAGAGGGAAGAAGCCACAAGGCAGACTGCCATTTTTGAAGAAAGCAGAGGCGAAGGCAGAGGCAGAAGGAGAGCGTTTGGGGCACAAGCAGACATGGAACATAAGCTTTCTGACCACCATCATCTAGACCATCTCCAAATGAAAACATCCTAGGGGTGGAAGAGGCTCTCTCCATGCACTTTTCTCACTAACCCTGAAGATCTGTGTATCATTTATCTACCCTTTCACCTAGGGGCATGAAGGATGTAGTAGGATAGGATGCAGCTTTATTTAGCTCAGGGGCTTTTCTATTTGTGCACAGCCCCTCTTTCATCCCTGCCTCTCCTCTTCCACCAATTGCGATGTATTTCAATTCCATAACAAACCCAGGTTGACCTACATAGAAAGGTTTTACCACCCCTCCAAAGAATTCAGAGACTCTTTTTGCTTATTACAGCATAGCCTTGTTTATTCTCATCTTTTGATTTGCAAGTTGCCACTACGTTTGTTTATTTATTTATTTATTTTTAATGCTAAATGCATGCCATGAGAGGTGACTGGTAGCAAGGGCTTATTGGAGCCGTTCTCTGACCAGGAGGAGGACTGGAAAATGCACCCTCTAACATGAGGAGGATTTCAACGATTGCTGTGGATGTTTGGGTGGGAAGTGCAATGTCAGAGCAGAGCTGACAGTGAATTTATGAATAGTATCAAAATATGGGTAAACTAAGGGTGAAAGCAGGCAGCAGATATAATGTCCCCTCAGAACAGAGAACATAGTCAGAAGTTCAGAGAAAAGGCTGTCCTCAAGGGTTTAAGAAGATGGAATATGAAATACATCATTGCATACTCTCTTTCCTTCCTGTAAATATTTGGAAGATGTGAAACTTTGTTAAAATATGCTGACGTGGTACATCTCACCAATACTTCACTTTAAAAAGGGGCAGATTTACATCACTAATATTGCAGGGCAATTTCTTGTGCAGCTGAGAATAAAAATATATTTCTACATAGAAAAAAATCCTTGGAAAACCAAGCTGTACTGTTCCCGACTCTCACCCCTGATGTTACACTGCAGAAACTCAGAGAAAGCTGGTAATTTGTTAAGGAATTTCATTAAAGAAAGGGGAAAGCTATACAATATTCATCTTTAGATGCTCGCTGCTAACAGTATGGTTAGTAACGCTTTTTTTTTATAGGCCTGTTCTCATAAGGTAAGTATTCACCTCCCCTTAGTTCATCATAGCTAATGTTCTGCTGTATTTCTTGTTCACCTATAGATTACTTGGCATCTCCATCTACACACCAATTGGTGATGGGCAAGATATACACCAAAATGAAAGAAATGTTTTCTCCTATCAACATTATCATGACTTGCACTCCTAAAACAGAAAAGATAATCATAGTACTGCTTCCTTTTGCCACTGCATCCTGGTGAACACATTCTTCTGAGACTGGAATGGGAATCTTCATTTCTCTGTATTGTAATAACATTCTACATTTGCTTAGTTTTCAATAAGGCACAAATGAAACAAAACATGAAAGTGAACATCCTATCAAGTTACCCTGCCTCCTCTGCTCAGGGAAACAAGCAAAAGAAGTCTGTATAAAATGATCCCAGTACAGTATCCGTGTCTTTTTGGATAGGGCCCCATGATCTATTCTACAGTGTCAGTTGAGAAGTTATATAATTATTGTTCTTAAATTTCTCCTCATTCTTCTCCTTTGAAAAGTACTGTCCAGAAGGTCATTATGGAGTTAGAAGATCAGAATGGGTGGGTTACAACTTAGTATTTACCTGAATGTACAGCATGCTTCTTCCTTTCAGGAACCTTGTCCTAAAACATACTTTAAGCAATAGTTTTGCTGCACTTAAGTCTGTTAAATATGTTAAGCTGACAAACAAAGATTTTCTTTCAATCTGAACATCTTTGTCAGGAGACATGTCAAATTGAGAAAATGTCCTAAATCGCAAATTTCGATTTGAATCAAGATATAGGCCTAATTGCTTAGGAGTATGGTTAAGCCTATTTAGAGGCTCCCTAAACTTGAAGTTGCTGGAAGCCAGGGCCTGGATGCAGACTCATCCTTAGGTGGTGAATATGTCTTATCCTAACCCTCAATCCAAAGAAACTTTGTGTTGTTTGGTGAAACATTATTTTATTGTACATTATGTTGTTATAACTGAGAATCACCTCATGGACAAGAAGGGCAAAACACAGAATTCATTTGAAGCAGCGACCCCCACTACACTGTCAGACAAGGTGACCTCCCAAAGACTTCTTCTGGTCCTAATATGGATTTTTTAAAATTATTTATTTTCTGTAAACTCTCTCCTGTTACACTCTGTTCTAACAATGGCAGCTTGCCTAGCCTCCTTCAAAAACTGTTAGGAATGTTCTTTTAATAAGCCAGATGATTGACACTTAATCATAAGAGCCACAATTCATGGAGGAAAAACACAGAGAAATATATTTTCTTCCTACTCTCAAAGGTGAAAATCAGAAGTCCCATCTGAAGTTATGCTAAAAGAGAATCAAGAATGTTGGTCTCAGCAGCATTCCCAATTCCTGCCAACTCCCTGTGAAACAGGGACTAGGTTAACCAATGTAATACCATGGTGCAACAGTGTTTGTGCTCAAAGCTGAACCACTTTAAGTGAACTGATGCAGCATTTAAACAGACAAACCTTTGGTGAGTGAAAAACCTTATTCTTCTCTTCACTTTCAGATTTACCAACCCATTAGCTTAAGTCTGAGGCATGAGCAGTAGTGGCTCTGAATAGGACATGAACAAACCACACAGCACCCAGCACCACCTGGATCGAAGCCTTTGCAAATGGCAACTTGAAAAGTTATCTGCAATTTGGTCATTGCTCATCCACCATGCTGGGGACATGTTACCTATGCCATTGGCTCAGATATGTTTAACAGCGTAATCACAACGTGCAAGGTATAAACACAGACTGCAAGACCCACGCAAAGACAGTGGGAAACACTTGTGTGGCTAGCTATCGAGAGCTACGTGTAGCCTTGGCTAACTGACTTTAGAAGGGCTTGGGAATGTCTACAGGAGGAGTTGCCTCATGGTGAGTTCAGGTTAGTGGTTCCCTTCTCATGAGCAAAAACAAGGCAAGTCTTGGAGTACTTTTTGCATAGAAAAGAGGAGTGAGAAGTTGGTCTGGCAAAAGGCTCTCTGCTGGGTCTACAAGCTAAATTCCCAAAGAGCAAATGCTTTACTTATATAAATGTACTTATCAGCCTAGCAGTCTGAAGTAAGGAGCCTATCAGCAAGCAGACCTGGGGTCTACACAGATGGCACAGCTTAGATCTTGCCATTGAAATATAAGGTTGAGATTTTAACAGAAATTATTTTAAAAAGAATTAGTGCACTGAAATCATTTAAGTTTCCTCTAAGAAGGCTGGGCTCATGGTTGTTTAGTTTGTAAAATAATTTCTGTAAAATTGTTTCCACCAGGCCCTTTTTTTAGATCTTTTTCTACTTTGACTTTATTTAGGACTCACAATTATTTGAAATAGTCAGGTAAAAGGGAGCAGAATGGAAACCAACTGGTTATATGTATATATTTTTACCCCCATGGACTGTTTCAAAAACAAAAACTTTCACAGAATTATTTTTAATTTGGTTGAATTTTTCTGAGGTTGGAGAATGGAAGAAAACAAAAGATGCTCTTCTGTCATTTCCTCTTTGCTTTATTAAGAGAGAAATAAAAATTAATTTGGTTCTACTGGTTTCAGGACCCCTCAAATTGTTTCTTTCTTGGTCAGAAATGTGTAATATCCAAATCAATTTCTTCTGCTACTTTCCTCCTTTTTTCTACTTTCTGCACACTTTCTATTTTTCAACTAGCTATAATTGAAATCAAAAGGAAGATTCCTAAAAACTGCTGATACAAAAGGGAGTTGGGTCAGGCAGAATCACAACCTTTTCAACTAGATTTATGTGAAAAGAGTAGTCTCCCTGCTGGCAAAATAAACAAACAAAAGAAAGTATTTTCTGTTCTTGCAGATAAAACAGAAGACTCTATCATCCACTAATGTTGATATGTTAAAAAACAGAGTATCGCTATCATTCCACTTAAAAAAAAATCCTTTTTAGCCTGCTTCAAAATCATGAAAATTTAAGACTCTGCTATATCCAGCCATTGAAAGAAAGTATTCAAGAGTTTTTCCCGCACACAGGAAACGTACAACCAGGAATAGAAGCAATGCTACTGATGTTTTGCCCAGAAATGGTGGCATTTTGGAATGAACATTCACAGCACAAACAAAAAAATTCCTACAAATACTCAACGAAATGCCCCCATCCTTTTCTTAAACTTATGGTTTCATACAGTTATTTAGATGTAGTAAGAACTTAAGAAACAAAGTCTTTTTTTTTTTTTCAGACAAAAGGTTCCAATCTTAAATATAACTGCATCCAGACAGACACCTATGTCCACACAGGGCACCACTGGCTTCAGCTGGGCTCTACACAGGCTCAGGTTCTGCTTGCATGGAGTAATTACAAGATTGAGACCTACAGCAATATTTGCGAAAACATATTTTTAAAACTTCTACATTGTTCAATATATAATAGATGTAAATTTCTAAATGAGTTTGGAGTCCTTTATTGCAAGTCTCTAAAAATTGTTGTTAGGGTTATACATTAAAAATACTAAAGTAATAAAAAAGGGGTCTTTTTTCTGTGTGTTTGCTTGTTTCCTTCTATTGTACCATTAAGCTATAAATAATTTTAGGATAAAATGCCTAGGTATAAATGAAACCGTTAACTGATCGTGTTTCCTGATGTCCCTTTCTCACATTGCCCAAGTTGGCTCTATTAATCCAGCATCTTCTCTTGTTTCTTGCCTTCCTTTTTCTTCTTCTTGGATTCTGTGAAGATAGCAATAATAACAATCATAAAAAAATAGCACATAGCAGTCATGAAAATACATTTAAGCCAATACCCATGAAAGTCAAAGCTCTTTTCCATCTCTTGCATTTTCTCTGTGCATGCAACTAATTCTGTTTCTTCATTCTAAAGAGGTAAACGGAAAATAGAAGGAAAAAAAAAGAAAAACAAAACAAAAGAATGATTAAAGAGCTGGAGAAGATGGAAAGGGAAGTTTACGTCCATTTCTGAAGCCTTCCTATCTGAGTGGCTGGCCCTGTTTGGCATGCAAAGCATTGTCTCAGGATCTTGGTTGGAAATAAGAAAACAGCAGGCAGCTCCTGGAGAAACCGGGTCACGGCTCAGTGGAGAGCTGGAAGGAAGCTTTGCACACACTGCCCACGCAGCCCTCTCCCTCCCTTGCTTCCCTTCTTTTAGTCTTTGGCTTCCTCTGAATGCGAGAGCAACTCCAGAGCGTGGTGAGAGAGCTCATTTGTTTCTTCATCACTGTCAACCCTTCCCTCTTTTGTGTGAGATGAACATCCAGGTACACTTTAAGGCAACTGAGGCTTGGCCTGCAGCTATCAGAGCAAGGTCAGCCCAGCCCATTAGCACTGATGGGTTATGGAAAGGAGTAGGGAGTGCGCGATGCTCTGACAAATCTGTGGAGCATATGGGAACAAGGAGATAGCAGAAATGAAAGTTAATACATTAACATTACCATCTGCAGCAATGTCCATCATGGCACAAGCATAGGAAATATAGCTAGGTTAGGTAGAAGAAATTCACAGAGAAGCCTAGCAGAGAATCTGGCACTACTTTACAAACTGTCACTCCGAAATGTGATTTGTCATTGAGTTCATATGACATTTGTTTTTAATAAAAGCTCTTTTTTTTCTCCTAGTAAATGTATGTCTGTCTTCTCCTACCCTTTTCTAACTTTGTTTTCCTCTAATTTTCCCACCGAAAGCTAAAGCTATTGGATTAAGCAATAATGCAATATCACTGGATCACTGACTCTCACGGATTCTATATCAGTTGTTCTCCCCCTCTCTCCTTCTTTCCTTTTTCTCTAAAAGGAACCTTACATTTTATCAATCTGACTAGTTCTGGAATTTTTTAAATCTATCCAGGTCCAGGGTAAGTAGAGAGAAACACTGCAGATTTCAATAAATTTACAAAGGAGACATGGATATATGCTGACCACTAATAGTATTTCACAGAAAGGAAGAGTATACACAGTTCACAGCAGGACTGAAGTCACTTGCTTCCCAGAGATGGTTTTGGTCAGCAGTTGTTGTGCGATCAAACTAGGTCCTTAGTCTCAAAGAATATCCGTCTTGCACTTGACTTGAAGTACCAGACAACCCGGCATTTATTCATTTGTACTCAGCTGCACTCTGCTTGCTGGTTTTTGTGTCTGTGCCTTCTCTGACAAAAAAAAAGAAAAGAAACAAAATCCTTCCCTTTGCTTAACTTGCAATAATCTGCACTTCATCCAAACTTCCAAAGCATCTAGGAGGACAACTGACTCTGCTCCCTACCTCAGTGGAGTGAAACCTTCCTGTCTGGGAGGTAATTATGCTTGTATGAAAGATATTCACATCACTGCATATTCATCATTCAGAAGAAGGATAAGCTGCATTGATGTAAAGCACATTGACACCACGAAACAACATGAACCCTTGGACTTGTGGTAATATGAAAAAGGAAAAAAAAAAAAGAAAATGGCTCAACTATTTCCCACCTCCTATGCACTTTTAAAAATCCTACCACAGACACCAATAGCTAGATAGGCACCTCTAACAGTGTTGCTCTTTGTACTCTGATGGTCCCCAGTGCTCAAGTTTGTTCACAGCTACCCTCTGTCTGTTTTGACTGTGGCCAGGACTACAGTATGTCTGTGGCTAGCAAAGCAGAAAGCTGAATTAAAATGTATTTTATTCATTTTTGTCTCTGGTCAGACATCAGCTATGTGTCTGTGTCACTCAGGCTTTTGTTGTTCTCCTCTCTGTTTATCTCACATTTAAATTTCAATTTTTATGGTAGACTATCACATCAGCTTACACAGCCACACAGGGATCCGTGTCATCCAGATCACTGTGTCTGCCAACATTTCTCTTCCCATGGTAGCCAGATTTGACTAAAAGGGTGGCCATGCAATCAATGCCAGCACGGACACCATGTGAGAAAGCACTGACAAGCTCAGAGCACAATACCGGTACAGTCTCACTTCCCAGGGAAAGATCCCACAGCTCTATTGCATCTATTAAATCCAGGTTTATCCAGAGTTCCATACATGAAAAACTACCTGAATTCAATTCACCTTAGGAAAGACGCAAGACCTTCAGTTCAGCATAGTAAGAAAGAACAGCCATTTCCCATTAGACAATTTACTGTGGTCCTAGCCTGCTTTCAGAATTTATAACTATCTGTTAAGCAGGGTGCATTCATAGCAGCCCCTGACAGGAAGCCACTATACCACTGCTTCCACATCTCAGCGGCCCTGCACAGCAGCTTGAACTCTCTGATGCTCAGAAGGAAGCAAGGAAACCAGGACAGTGAATGCTGATCACTGTACACTGCCAGTTCTGCAAGCACCCTGTGTGAACAGCAGCCTCTCACACCTCACCTACCTGATTGATGTGATACTTTGAAGGAAAATAGCCACAGACTCCATCGCTTGCTCACCAATGCACTGCCTACAGGGATGTGTTTGCCATAGGCACATGCTAGCTATACTATCCAGAGCCATTGCAATGAGATCCTCTGATTTCATTGCAATAAAATCCAGCTGCATATCAGCCCCCACAGAATTTTAACCTGAATCTATTCATGGCCTCATTTGCTTGCTTTAAAGCAAAATTGTACAATCTTTTCAGTGCTGAGCCAGCCAGATACCAGTCTGAGACATTTCTATGAGCTACCTGTGGCAGAGCAAAACGTTCTGTGACACGAAGCAGGATCTCAACCCCACACTCCAAGAGAGCAGACTTTAACCTGATCAGATATCTGCTTGGAAGAATCCCATACAGAGCAGGAAAGAAGGGGGGTTCAGGGGAGCTGGTTGATTTTCAAGGTTCACTTTCTCTGAGCTCAAGATCCTGAAATGCAGGAAACCAAGCAAAGAAGGCAAGAAGTCTTTGTCATATTCTTGACAATACCCAAACATATAAAGCAAACAGGGACAATGAGTCTAAAGGAACATAGAGACACTGTCTGAGCATGCAGGGATAGTTTTAAGAAAGCCAGAGTCCATCTGGAATTGAATCTGTGAAGAGACATAAAAGGCAACAAGGGCCTCTGCAAGTGTATTAGCAGCAGAAGAAAGACTAGGGAAAATGTAGGCCCACGACAGAATGGGTGTAGTGTAGCAGTCTTGTAGTATCAACCTAGGTAAACAGATAATAACTGTTTAACTTCTTCATTAATGACCTGGATGATAGGACGGACCGCAGGCTCAGCAGATAATACAAAATTTGGAGGAGTGGCTGGTATACAAAATGGTTGTGCTGCAATGCAAAGGGATTGAAGATTGAAGATTGGGCTAACAAGAATCTCATGAAATTCAACAGGGAGAAAGGTAAAACTCTGTACTTGGGAAAGAATAATCCCATGCACCAGTACAGGCTAGTGACCAACTGTCTGGCAAGCAGCTTTGCAGAGAAGGACCAGGGATGAACGAGAAGCTGAGCACGAGCCAGGATGTGTCCTCATGCAAAGAAAGCCAAGAGCAGCCTGGGCTGCATTATGAGGAGCACTGCCAGCAGAACTGTTCATCAGTGCCCCAGACAAATTGTTGTTCTGCCTCTGGCATGCCTCAGCACACAGCCACACTGCCGAAAGCAGCAAGAGGAGCAGCTATGCCTTCTCCATTTTGGATGAGCACACATCCTTCACATCAAGGAAATTCTTAGTCACCCACTTATTTTACCATCCCTGGGCATCCCTGCAGCAAAACAAAAGAACCTGGAGAGTGAGCTAGGTATGGTCCAGAATATTAAGAAGGACAGTTAAATTGTCCTCCATTTCGGCCTATGTTTTACAGCGTATCCTTTCTGCTGTCCCTCCCCCTTCCCTCCTGTGAGGCTGTTGAGCAGAGCAGTTGCACAGCTGGAGGCCAGGATCGTGGAGCAGGACATATGCAAAGATCAAGTTCAGAATACCTCGCAATTCCCACAGAGAACAGCAATTGAGCACTGCACAGCCAACTTGCTTCCTCCTGGAACCCAAAGTATTTCCAGCCAAATACAAACACCCACATAGCCCTGTACAAATAGCCTTGCAAAAATGAACTGTGTCAACCAACCTGGACTTGAAAATCTTTTTTTTTTTTCTCCCCTATTACCCTCTGCTGCTCTTCCCTCTGTACATTAATGACACCACGGGGAAATTGGAAACCATCAAACAGGGTTTCAGAGCTCTGGGAATAGTGGTCAAGGGTCTGGGAGCCCAGATACTGTCTCTCATAACATCCTCATAAACAAGCTCGGAAGTGTTGGTTAAATCAGTGGACAGTGAGGTGGATTAAGAACTAGCTGAATGGCAAAGTTATGATCAACGGTGCAGAGTCTACTCTTTACAGCTAGCAATGTGCCCCAGGGGTCAGTACTGGGTCCAGTCTTGTTCAATTTAGTTGTCTGTGGCCTGGATGAAAGCAGAGAGGGACCCTCAGCAAGTTTGCTGATGATACATAAGTGGGAGAGTGGCTGATACACCCAGGGAACTGTGTTCACATTCAGAAAGACCTGGCTAGGTTGGAGAGCTGGAGAGAGAGGAACCTGCTGAAGTTCAACGAAGGCAAGTGCAAGGTCCTGCACCTAGAGAAAAGTAACCCCACATCCCAGTACAAGCTGGGGCTGAGCTTCCGGAGAGCAGCTCTTTGTGGGACCTCATAATCCTGATGGACAATAAGTTAACCATGAGGTAGCAAGGCGCCCTTGTGGCCAAGAAGGCCAATGGCCTCTTCGGTTGCATTAGAAATAGTGTTACCAGCAGATTA